TCATCATCATCAGCGTCGTCGTCATCATCATCATCAGTATCAGCATCAGCATCATCATCATCATTACCCACCATACGCCTCGAGGCCACAGAAAGCTCCATTGAAGGTCTCAGTGGTAGGGTTCGCAGTTCGCATGTTTGACAGCAACCATTTCGGCACACCCCTCACGAGGATCGTGGCCCCGCAGGGACCGAAAGCCCCGTTGGCTGGATTCGCATTTGTGACGGCGCCAATTTCGGCACACCTTTTACGAGGATCATAGCCCCCAGAGGTAGCTCCACCAATGGCCGCAGCGGCAGTGCTCGCATGCGTGACGTCGTCCATGTCGGCACACCCTCACGAGCATCATGGCCCCATAGGTAGGGAGCTCCAAAGTAGGCCCCGGTGACACTGTTCGCATGCGTGACGGCGCCCACTTCGGCACACACCCCACGAGGATCGTGGCCCCATAGTTGGCTCCACAGAAGGCCCCAGTGGCATGGGTGCGCATGTGCGACGGCGCCGGCACACCCCTCACGAGGATCGTAGCTTCCATTGGGAGCCCCACCGTAGGCAACAGTGGAAGGGTTCGTATGCATAACGGCGTTCGTGTCGGCACATCCCTCACGAGGATCGTGGCCTCATAGGGAGCTCCACCGCAGGCCCCAGCGTTAGGGTTCGCATGCGTGACGGCGTCCATTTCGGCACACCGCTCACGAGGATCGTGGCCCCCTAGGGAGCTCCACCGAAGGTCGCCTTGGCAGGGCTCGCACGCGTGACGGCGCCCACTTCGGCACACCACTCACGAGGATCGTAGCTCCCGATCTGAGCTCCACCGCAGGCCCCAGTGGCAGAGTTCGCATGCGTGGCGACGTCCATTTCGGCACACCCTCAACGAGGATCCTGGGCCTAGAGGAGCTCAGCCGAAGGCAACATTGGCAGGGCTCGCACGCGTGACGGCGCCCACTTCGACACACCCCTCACGAGGATCGTGGCCGCAAAGGGAGCTCACCGCAGGCCCCCATGCGTGACGACGCCTACGTCGGCACAGGCCTCACGAGGTTCGAGACCCCATCGGGAGCTCCACGAGAGGCGCAATTGTTGCGGTGCGCGCTCCTCTCGAGCACGGCTGGAACCTGAGCGCATGCCACGCGTGCGCGCGTGGTTCTGGCTGGCGACCATATCCCTGGACCAGGGGGCGGCCCCTTCCCCCCCCCGCGTCAAAAGTCTAGGCCCGGGAGCTGGCGGCCCTTCGAGCGGTCCAGGGGCTTCTCTAGACCTCGAGGCCCTGTCTCGGCGACCCCACGTGACGCTCAGAGGCCGCAAAAACGCTCCCAAGACTGTCCAAGATGATCGTAAAGGGGCCCAAGAGGCCCCCAAGGCGGCCGAAGACCGCCTGAATGGAGCTCCGAGAGGCCTTCCAGGGAGCCTCAGAGAGACTTAAACTGTTGAAGAACGATCTGTTTTCGTGCAATGTTAACATTCTTGCCCAGTTGCTCTTAACAGCGTCAACGACGGCTGACGTGGCCTCCAATATTACTTTTCAGGCGACCCAGGGAGTCCCCAAGAGGGCCCCACGGCGGCGCAGAACCACCCCAAGAGGGCCCAAGAGACCCCCAAGACGAGCCCAAGGAGCTCCGATGACAGCCCGAAGACGCCACAAGAAAGCCCCCAGATTGCCCACGGAGGCATCCAAAACGGCACCCGAAGGCGTCAGGCTACGAACGCTCTGAGACAGCCAAGGAGGCCCCCAGGAGAACTCGAGAGGCCGCAGAAGCTCCCCGAAGGGGCCACTGATAGACACCAGATAGGCGTTCAATATGCACCGGAAGATCCAAAGATGCCCTACAGGAGCCCCACGAAGACGACCCACCATGCTCTTGAGGAAGTCCCCAGAGCTTCTCAGTGGCTCAGAAGAGACCTCAAGACGGCCCTGGGGAGTCCCAACACGGTCCAATCAATAGCTTGGGTAGCTCAAGAGGCTTTCGCGGCGTCCGCGAAAGGCGCCGCCAAAGGACACCCCTTCTTGCATATATTCGTTTTAAATTTGTCGGGTGTACCCGTGTCGTCGATTCGTCTCTGTTGGTTCCGCGGCCTTGCATTTTCTAGTGCTAATGTTCAAGGCAATTGCGGTGAGTGCAGCTGTGAGCTGGCCAAGGGCTGGGGCGTGCTAGAATCTAAGCGCGCGAAACGCGCGCTACAAGCATTGGAGCGACACGAAGCGAGAAACTGACGACTTGATGTACGCTGTTCAATGCATTCCTCCTGCAACTCCGCTCGAATCGTAGCCATGTGCTTTCCTGGAGGAGGAGGAGGAGGAGGAGGAAGAGGAAGAATAATAAGAAGAAGACGAAAATAAGAAGAATAATACGAAGAATAATAATAATAATCATAATAATAAGAAGACGAATAATAATAATCATATTAATAATTAAAAGAAGAAGAGGAATAATAATAATGATAATAAGACGAAGACGAATAAGACACATAAAAATAAGAATAATAATACTACTGATAATAATAAGAAGAAGAATAAGAATAATCATAATAATAAGAAGAAGAATAAGGAGAGAGGAGGAGGAGGAGGAGGAGGAGGAGGAGGAGGAGGAGGAGGAGGAGGAGGAGGAGTGAGGAGTGAAGATTAGCGAGGAGGGGACACCGCAAACACGTAAAATCTGGGGAAGCCTCAAATATTTTCAATGTTGATGCCATCGACAACGACTACGACGACGACTGCTACGGCGACGGCGGCGACAGCGGCCATTGCAGTGACAACAAGGGCGGCGCAGCAGTCCCCCCATGTGTGCTACAACGAGACGGCCCGCGACCTCGAGAAGAAGAATGCGGCGCTCAAGGCGGCCACGGCGGCGGTCGTCGCGGCGGAGACTGCCTTGCAGAGCGCCAACGAGAAGGCGGCCCAGGCGGCCCGTGAGCAGCTTCAGGCGAAGCAAGCTCACGATGCGGCAGTCCAGCGGGTGGCCGCCCAGGCCAACATCAAAGCAGTCCCCGACGGGTACATTGCGGACGGCAAGAGGGTGGTCTTCGCGGTGGACGACGGCTCCAGCCATGGTTGGAAGCGAAGGGCTTCGAGGGTTATCGCACGCTTCCGTCGGCTCTCCGCGGTGCTAACCAGGTGCGAACGAAACCCGAGGTTTTCGTTGGCTCTCGTCGCCCAGAGTTGGAGGCCTGGAAATGGGCACCAACACCAAGACAAGGGGGCTGCCTCCACAGGGGGGAGATGATCCTAGATTTCGATGTTGGTGGTAATATTTCGGCCACCTGGGAAGCCAAAATATTACCACCATCACCGAGATCGGGATCTTTCTTCCCTCGGTGGAGGAACAGCGCCGATATTGGTGTTGGTGTCAATCTCTAGGCCTGCGACAGAGCTCTGACGACGAGACCGTGCTCGGAGTCATAACTGGCCGCGCGCCCTCGTCGGCTCTCTGGGGGTTTTGTCGGCCCTCGGCGACGCTGTTGCCTCGAGACGCGTTCCGGCAGCGGCGCGCCGCCTGGCACGCGCAAAGGTGAAGGGGGACTGGAACACACAAATACATAGACACAACTAACCGGATTCCCCATACAGTCGGGGCGTTGACCTAAGGAACCCTAAATAAGGAACGATTTCGATTTCGTATCGTAACCATGAGGAAAACCTGAGGCAAGCTGCGAAACAATTAAGGAGCATGTTAGCATGTCTTGGCTCAGGCGGATTTCATTGACGCGATTGCAGGCCAGAGTTGTGTCTACGGGCAGCGTGCTACCTATGATGTCTTGCGCACGTATGCTTACGTATGCGTAATTACACGTGCTGGTGCGCCACGCAGGCGCTTCATCAAGCCGCATCTCGTGGGAGTCAGCGCAAGGCGACTGCGGTGTTACATCCGCGCAGATCAGTGAGATGACAGCATTGATTGCGGCGGGTGCCCTAGAGGGATCATTTCTTGTTTCTCATGACCCACATCTTGGAGAGGACGGTTCACTCATAAACCCAGGGACCCAAACTTTGGCCGCTTGCAAGGCATTGTGCGTCCAGACGCTCGGTTGCAGGGGTGTGGAGTTGCACGGACTCGACGCGGATAACCCGTCGGACTCGACAAGTGGTCACTGTAATCTTATGTGGGGCATGGATCTGAGCTTGATCCGTGCGTGGAAGGCTCCCTGGTCTTGCAATGCCCTTCTTATTGACGGGGACTTCCCGGCGATTTTTGCGGCATCCCCAGGGATGTTGGTGGCGACGGAGACCAGTACGAGTGCCACAGCGACTAGCACCAGCAGATCCAGCAGTACCACAGGCACCACCACGACCGGGCGGGCCCAGGGTCGATCCGGGATGTGACCAATTTACGCTGGGCGTTCGCTTCTGGGCGTGGCTGTCGAGCGCGAACCCAGCGCCGCCGGCGCTGGGGCGGCTGGCGTTGCCCAGCGTTTCAGGCAACGCGCCGCCCGCGCCATGGAATGCGCTAAAGTGTTTTGGTGAATTGCGGCTCGTGCTGCGAGCCGCGCCGCCGCGCGTCGTTGGCGCGGGGCCTCGGAGCGCGTCGCTTCGGCAGCCGCGTTGCGCGCGTTTCGCCTCGAGCCCCGCGCCGCGCGGGGCCATGCGCGCAGTCGGGGCTGAACGCCGCATTCGGGGGGTCGCCCTCGGCCCGAGCGGTTTCGGAACGCTCCCTTGGCGCTCGCGGCGCGGAGCCCCGCAAACCGGGACGAGCCAGATATTGACAGATTTTGCAAACCAGGGCAATGTGAACCAGGGCGGTGCAAGCCAGGGCCCTGCAGCTCAGGAGCGATACGTGCCGTCAGGTCGTCAGAGCTATCGGAGATCAGTTTTGCATATTGCTGGCAAGCAAGCTGGATTTGCTTAGTGACGGTAGGATGCTGTAACGTTTTGTGCTTCTAATTTGCGTGAGTCTAGTCATGTCCTAACCCGAACAAAGCCTTCTGGTTCAAGTGACCGTTGGTCTCGCTTTTCTTGCAGCACCGCCCACCGTACTCGGCTCTGCTGTGCCAGGCAAGGCGACGCGATGGCCTTGACCTTCGTCGGCGCCGCCTCCCCCGCTTCGGCGGGCCTCCAAGCCAACCCGCTCGCGCCGACCACCGCGCCGCCGGCGCTGAGGGCCACCGCGGCGCACAAAGGCGCGGCCAGCGGCGGCAGCCTGGGCGCCGCCGTCCCAGTGGGCGCGGTGGCCGCGCTCGCGATCGCCGCGCGCCGGCCGGCGCGCGCGGCGCGGCGCGCCGCGGAGGCCGCCGAGGCGCCACCGCCGTTCGACCCGTCGACGCAGCTGGGCGCCATGACCCCCGTGGGCTTCTTCGACCCGGCCGGGTTCAGCAAGGTTGAAGCAGTGGCGAAGCGTCTTGGCGTGCCAAGAGGCCCGCCAAACAATGTTCTAACAACTTTTGTGTGGTTTCTACGAGTTGTTCTCAGGACATGTCTGTGTGGGGCTGTCTTGTTTTAGTACATCGGGTTTATGCTCTAAGAGCATTGTTATTGTTATTACAACATGTCTGGGTTCCAAGAACATGTCGTGGTAGGCCTGTGGAAATGCCAGGATGGTCTGTCCCTGCTCAAAAGGTGGGCGACGAGGAGGGTTTCCGCAACCTGCGCACCGCGGAGCTCAAGCACGGGCGCGTGGCCATGATGGCGGCTCTGGGGTTCGTGGCGCAGCAGTACATCAAGTTCCCCGGCTTCGAGTCGGTGCCTGCCGGCGTGGGCGCGGTGACGACGGCGCCAGGCACGTACGGTTTCGTGGCGTTGTTTTTGTTTGCTGGCGCTATGGAGCTCGCGGTGTGGACGCAAGACCCGAAGAAGGAGGTGGGCAACTTCGGCGACCCCTTGGGCCTGTCCAACATCTTCGGCTACGACGAGGACATGCGCCACAAAGAGCTCAACAACGGCCGCTTCGCGATGTTCGCGGCCATCGGCATCCTGTCTGCGGAGCTGTTGACAGGCAAGGTGGGCATGGACCAGTTCTGAACTGAGTTCAGCTGAGCCAGAAGTGTGGCGGTGGTGATCCTCCACAACGAAGGGCAGTATTGCATCGCGTGCTTCTTTTCCCGGGCATTATCTTCCCGGCCATTTTCGTCTCCGTGGCGAGATTTCTTGCCGTGCGCTCTCAATGCCATCATTTTCGGTGTGGAGGTGGCGCAGCAGGGACGGCTCCCTCGGCGCAGACGGGTGTGCGGCGAGAACTGCGCAGAATCTAGAAAAAAACGAGCTGGTTGTGGCAACCCGAGCGGGGGCGTGGAGAGAACAAACCGTGGAGGAAATTCCGACCAATGGCAGCAGTTTCCCCAGGCGTGCGCCAACGTTCTGGTTTACCAAACAGGAAGTGTTAAGTCGGGCCTGTCCCTCTACAGGGGGAATATTCGGAAATAGTAAAAAATAGTCTGGGACGATGTTTTGACTATGTTTGGGTATGTTTGAGCATTCTTTGACTATTTTTACTTTTTCGTTCAAGTTCCCCCTGTAGGAGGACATGCCCGACCTAAAGGAAGTGCCCGTTGACGGAGCCCTGAGCGGCACCCGAGACGTCCTTCAGACCCGCCGCTTCGGCAGAGGTGCGCTGGCTCACGTCGCGCCGCCAACCCCTGGGAGGCCCTGTACGCCTCTCTCTGTCGCAGAAGCGTCCCGGCGCCGTGCGCCCGGTCATACAACCCGAACCGTGCTCAGAAGGGGTCCTGTTGGGCCGTCTAGGAGCCCTCTGGGGGCCTCTTGGGGGGTTCGTGCTCTCAGAGATTCCTGCCTTAGTTTCTTTCGGATTTATCCTCATCCAGAGGGTTCCGAACGAGGTCAGTGCAAAGGGTCGGAGGTTGGTAGACCTCCTACCCTGACACGTCGATTAGCGAATTGGCCGTTTTCGGTTCGCGAGAGGGCGTCGCGGCCGTCATTTTTGCGGGTCCAGGTCCGTCGGTTTTGGTGCTAGGCCGTTTCCACTAAAGGGAGGTATACTAAAGGGAGGTTTGTCCCCCGCCGAAAGGGGTTAGGCCGACCCGATGCGTTTGACTACCTGTCCAGCATTCGGAAAGGGCCAGACGTGGGGGGGCCGGCCCAACCCCTCTCTGCAAGAACCCCCTTTGGAACATTCCAGCTCGGTTTCGCCGCTGGACGCCGATCTCTCGGCGAGGGGGCGATCGCGTTCAGAGCACGCTGGGGCGCGGTGACGAGGACGAGGACGAGGACGAGGAGGAGGAGGAGGAGGAGGAGGAGGAGGAGGATGAGGCGGAGGAAGACGATTAAGACCTCTCTCCCTGCCCCTCGCCATACTGCTGGTGCATTCCTCCTCCCCCCTCATCACTCCTTTCGCCTTCTCCCTCTCCGTCGCCTCAACGGAGGCGCTCCTGGCGGAGGGCGCCGCTGAGTCCATGGGCCTTTCCTGGACCAGGAGGCCCCGTTGGTGGGCGGGGCGGACCGGGGGATGCGCGCGTCGGTGGCCCACGAACTGTGTGGTGACCACACCTCGTGGTGAGTCAGTGGGGGTTCGGGTTCGCCGCAAGACTTTGAGGCTCGGGCCCTTCTCCTAGGACGTCTCGGGCGACCGGGGGCGCCGAGGCCCCGAGGCCGTGCGGTGACGAAGCGCATGGTGAGGTCGCCAGGGGGTTCGGGGTCACCACGCGGCCCGTTACCACGCTGCAGGGGCCCCGCAGGCCAGGGGGGACGGAGCGCCCCGTGCCGATATTCCGCCCGCCGGGGGCGAGGATCTTGCAAACGGCAGGGAGGCATTGGGGGTAAGCCTCGGTCGATCGATCCTCGAGGGACGCCGGCGTCGCGTGATGTCCGTGTGGGCCAAGTTAAGAGCTCATGTCCAGGGGGGCCTGGGCGCGGCGACCCGCGGCAGGCCTGCCGGGCCCTCGGTGCACTCGGGAGGAGGCGCTTCTGGGCACCGCCCGGACGTGTGCACTTCTCGCGGCGAGGTCAGCGCCAGGAAGCTCTGGACCCTCTCGGGAGCGTCCTGCGGCGTCTTGCACCATCTTGAGAGCAAGCGCGCCCGAAACCAACCATATGCACGGGGAGAGGACGTCCGAGCGATGGCACGGCACAGGGCACCGGAGGCGCGTGTTCGCGGCCGTCTCCGCGGGGGGTGATCGTGGATCCGCCGGCAGCGCCCAGGATTGTGGTTCCTCGTTTCGAGTTGTGCCCCTTCCAGGACCTCCACATTTTCGCCGTGCACGTGGTCCGGCACACACGTTTCAGAACTTCACGCTCTGAACGTGCTCATCTCCCTTGCCGCGCGCTTCGTCTCCCCCATTCGCCTGATGTGCCCCATTCGGCACCGTTGCATCCCACGGCTGCCCCGGACCGCGGTGAGGACGCTCGCTGCTGCGGGGAAGTCGGGCCTGCCCCTCTACAGGAGCAAAATTCAAAAATAGCCCCAAAATAGTTAGACGACACTTTTGAACAAGTCATGCCTATCTCTAATCTTTCGCCCAATATCCGCTTGTGATTAGAGGGACATGCCCAACGTAATGCCGCGGCCGAAAAATACAGCGGATCCCCGCAGTCTCATCTCGGAGCCCTTCCGGAGGGAGAGGCAGCGAGTGCGAGGTGGAGGGCCGAAGTGCAGAAAGAAAGTGGCATACGCCCAGTTCTTCGGCGGTCCGCGCGGACTTCTTGGGTCTGCTGCGCTGGGCGCCCTTGGCGGCGCCTCCGGCGCCCCCCTCGCGCGCCCCGCGCGTCATGGAGGGTGGCCTAGCGCCGAGCAGAGACATCTGCGCGGACCTCCGGACCTCCACGCACATCATCTTGGACGCTCGTCGGATCTGTGTTTGGGCCCTCCGTGGGGCGATGCACGCAACTGGACGTTTTGAGAAGGGGGGTGGGCTCGTAGAGGGCTCAGAGGCCCTACCATACAGCAATTGGCATCCTGCTGCGCCACAACTTGCAGCCTCAACGTGCCAGGGGGCACGGTGCACGGTTGCGGATTAGGGGGACTATTCAAACATAGTCCAAATACAGTCGGGGGACGATTTTTGGGGCATGTTTTCAGTATTTGTTATTCTTCGTCCAAAATCCGCCTGTGGGGGGACGTGCCCGGCCTGAGATTAGGTGCAGCCTGTGGAGCAGCCTGTGGCAGGCAGGGCCACCTAGGAAATCGATCTTTGGCGGTGTGTGGCCTGGGTGCCTGGCGCGGTCTGTGGCGCGACGTAGGGCAAGCTCTGTTTGGGGTCTCCTGGCGGAGTGAATTTTCTCGGTGAGCGCTGAAGCACTCAGTGGCTCCCTTTCATGCTCCAATTCGTGCTTGCACTGAAGGGGTCCCAGCGGAAATTGCAAGGTTTGGCGAACGTGTCCCGCCGATTTTGGTGGCCGGCTGGGTTCCCGGGCTCCCGGGTTCCTGGTTATTGGTTCCGGGCCGATGTCTGTTGGTTCCGGGTTCCCGGGCTCCCGGTCGATCTCCTTATCGATCGAACCATTCGCTGATTGGGGTTTTTCTCTGGTGTAATTTGGTGCATGTACCAGTGCCTCGACTGAAGGACGTCGATTTAGCTTCCTGGATCAACAGCGATGTCGAAGAGCGCCGGCGGAGCTTGTCTGAGGATGTATACAGGGCGAGCCGTTTTTTGGGGGGAGTCCCGCCGGATGACTTTTAGGGTGCGGGCCACCTTTTGGCATCAGACGGCGTTCCCTTGAGTGCCCGCCCAAGGATTGTGCCATCCCCCCCCCCCCGCCCGTGCGCTGGCTGGGTGTAGGTTTCGTCTGTGAGGCGCCCGTGGGCGCCGCGTGGGCGCTCTGTGCGCTGGCTGCCTGTGCCGAGGTTCCGCCTGGCTGGGCGCCCGGTGGCGCCTCGCGCGTGCGCCGTGCGCCGGCTGGGTGTGCCGAGGTGTGGTCCAGCTTGGCGCCCGTGGGCCCCGTGGTGGGTGCCCCTGAGCGGTGGCCGGCTGCGCCGAGGTGTGGCCCGGTGGGTGGCATGGGTCGACCAAGAAACACACGACACCACCCCACCTGCGGCACGCCGTGCTGGATGTTTGCGACCTTGCCTCGCTGTTCTTCGCGTGGTGTTTCCTGGCCGACGACGGCAGGATGGCGACGTGCTGGGCAGTCGGAGTTCGTCATGGCTTCGACGCTCGGCGCGTGCCGAGATGTCGCCCTGTCTGCGCCTCGTGGGTGCCTGGTGTTGTTTTCCCAGCGCATCGATGGCACCGTGCCACTTCGTTCGCCGGTCAAAGCGTGCAGCCTCTACAGCATACAGCATGCCGCTTACACCATGCAGCGCTAACACTATACAGCTTGCGCCACATAGCTTGCACCACATGGCACTGAGCTCATTCCACACGGCTTAGACCACATAGCTTAGAGCAGACCGCATACACCGCATACGTTGCACTACAAATCTTACACCACATGCATTGCACCACATAGCAACATGTAGCCTGCAGCACATACGAGAATGCACAAACCTACTGTCTGAGGTCAACGCTGGCAAATCTTTACGTACGGTTGGTTTGCTTCTCGTTGACGTGTCAAGTACCCCCCCAGATCATTTTTGTGCCGCTGACAGCGCTTCGGAGACCTATCTCAGCACCCCCAAGCGCCACGTGCGCGGAACCACGGCGACAGCGACAGCGATGTCGTGAGAGGAGGGGGAGGGAGAGGGGAGGGGAGGGGGGAGGACGGGGGGAAGGGAGAGCAGGGGACGATGCGGCTGGGAGGACCAGGAGGGGGTTCCCTCTGACCCTCCCCCAGACCCCCGACGTCATGTTTTTTTCATTACGTCGACCCCCAGAGGTCCCGACCCTTTCCCCATGACTGGCTTTGCATCCTGAGTCGTTTTTTGACGCTCCCGAGGCCCAGTTGGGGCCCCCAGAGGCTGAAAATAGCGAAAAACTTCCCGTCGTGATTTTTTCACGACGCGAGGGGGTCTGGGCCTCTCATTTCCTTTTGCTCCCCCTCGGCGTCCTCCCCTTCGGCGTCCACCCCCTCTCCATCCTCCCCCACCTCTTCACCCGTCCACCGCCTGCTCCCCCCCTCCTCCCTCTTCC